AAAAAAAAAAAAAAACGAAATAAAAGAGTAACAGCAACAAAGGGATCAATGACAAAGGCTTCTTTTGTTAACTTTTCTGCTAGGCAGCTTGGAAACTGTCTTTGTTTGGTGTGTTGATTCAGCTAATCTCCAGTTAACATTTTTCACACCGAAAATATTGACGTTTGAAAAGAGAATTATTGCTTGCATCTATCTATCTATCTATCTATCTATCTATCTATCTATCTACCTATCTAAATCTTCAGGACCTTGAAGTTCTTCAATGGAGAGGGCTCTTTGGGGCCTCAGCTGATAAGAGTGCAACGGTCAATAGTGCAAGGCCAATGCCAACCTTCCTAAAGGAGGGACAATGTTTGCCTTAGGACAGACCCTGGACTGCTTTTCTTGCTATCCTGTCATTCCTAGGGCTCTGCTAAAACAGAGTGTCTTAGGAGGGTACCCCAGGGAGGGGCCATCTCTCCTGTTCGCATAGACGTTTCACCTTCTTGAGAAAAAGAAAGCCAACATTCAAGGTAATTTCGGAAAAGTAGATACGTATTTTTATCTTCAAAACTGCAATGATCATCTTAAGCTTATTTTAGGGCGAGCTGTACAATGGAGAGACTTTCCACCTTGGGGTTGAATCAGTGCTAAGTGACTAGGTGCTGCAAAATAAGGGGGTCCCTTCACATTGCTGGGCATTGTAAAAGCGGCTACGGCTTTCTCAAAAACAATAAGAACATTTTTTTTTTTTTTTTTTGACGCCTTTTAGACACCTGTGTTCACAAGCGCACAGGGAATCGAGCTTGCAAAGCTCTGGGTCGGAGGAACATCCATCATCCTCAAGAATTGAAAGGGCGCCTGCTGCTTTTAAAACACTATTTCCTATTGTAACAGACCCGGGCGCTATTATGTCCCGGGTGTGGTGGCTTTGGGCCGAGGACAACCCGAGCCTCCCTCGGGCCTGGCACTGCTCCCTTTAGGAGCCGACAGGCCAGCTCCTTCCTCCGGCGCCACCAGGGCGTGGAGGCCCCCGGGGCGAGCGGGCGCCGCCGCTAGGGTGCAACCCTGCCCTGGCCCGGCAGGTCCCGCTCCGTGCGCGCCGCGGGAGGAAAGCCGAGGCGACCGGCCGCCGCCCCGCGGAGGGAGGGGGCGACGGAGCCGCGGCAGCTTCAGGTTTCGTCCTGGAGCCGGTGGCGGGCGCGGCCATGCGATGAGGAGGCGGCGAGCCCGGCAGGCCGGAGGTGGGCAGGAGGGGACCGGGGAGGGGGACGCGGAGGCGGCCCCAGCCGTGGGCGCGGCGGGCGCGCGGGGAGCGGCGGCTCCGCCCCTCGGCGCGGCCAGCGGGGCGGAGGGGCGTGGGCATCGGGGGAACCGGCTTCCCCGCTGCGGGCGACGCTGGCCCGCGGGTCGCCCTCGGCAGGCCGCGGGGACAGCGCCTGGCCAGGGTTCCGGGCGCTCCCGAGCCACAGCTGCAGGTAAAGGCTGATTGCGGGAGCCGTCCCTCGCGTCTCCCCCAGAGCCCCGGGCGAAGTTTGTCCACCTGAGTTCTCCGGGGACAAAGTTTCTCTGGGGTCCCCGAGGGCGCCGGTGTCCACCGAGGCGGAGAAAGGTTGCACCCTGCGGGCTGGGCGGCTGGAGGGATGGGCGCCGCCTCCGGGTACCTGGGGGATGGCCACAAGTGCATGGCCCGGCGGGGTCCGAGGCGGCAGCTGCGGAGCGCGCCCGGTGGAGAGGGTGGGCCGGCAGCGGCCATCCCCCACCCCCTCGGGCACCGGGGGTAGGAGGGGACGGAGGGTGAGGGAGCTTAACCTCTGCGGTGGAAATCAATGGCTTGCGGCCACAGGAGAAGGGAGAACCTCAAAGAGGCAGGGTCCTCTCTTCCCATCTGTGCTTCTGGCCGGCTTGGGGGCCCCCGGTCTGCCGGTCAGTCTGGAGTTCGGGACCTTCATTTCTTGTGAAAACGTTTGCCGAGTTTCCAAAAGCATGTATGGTTGGTTATCTTGTTCGGGAGGGGCCTTTAGCATTCCGTGGAGGCTCCAAGCACTTGTTTCACGGACTTTCGCTGTAATATTCGAGTGTGGGTGGTAGGGGTCACAGGCAGAGAAGGCATTCTTGCTTCTTGTGGGCTCTGTTGGACACTGGGTGTTCAGACCACCCAGGAAACCCAGCCCTGGTTTCTAAGGGAGACTCCTCTGCAGGAGCCCACAGAGCCTGCCTATTGGTCACAGCTGGGTGGGCTCCGGGGGAGGACAGCATCTGTGTTTGCCAGCTTCTGGCTCCCTGACCCTTGGAGTCCCAGTCTCTACTCATTCCCATTTGTGGAGACTCACCACTTGATTCTGCACCAAGTAGTCAAGAAATACAGTTATAAGGAACAGAGCCACTGTTTTTTGTTTTTTGTTTTTTTTTTACTTTGTCTTCTTCTGTTCCTGGCCCTGAACTGTTTCAGTAAATGAAATCCTATTTTCACAGCACAAACGAAATCAAAGGTTTGCCCAGTTAGGTTCTGTGGGATCTACTTTGTACATGATAATTCAAGCTCTGATAACCTTTCCTGGGAAGGTTTCCATATCCCTGACTTGGGTTTTTATGTGAATGTTAAAACAAATAGATGTTTGTCTAATCTTGATGAATAGTCGAGCCAACTCCTTTGGAGTGTGTGAAGGAAGAGAATATTGTAAAATCATTTCAATTCTGCTGTGGGCTCCATAGGTGATTATGTGTAATTATTTTGATTAGAGAACTTGGATAGTAGCGTACCCACTACTTAGGGGTTAGGGAAACTGAGGCACAGAACTAGTCCTTGGGCGTGTTCTGGCTAACGTGACATGAGCCTGGAGAACAGAGAGTCAGTGTTTGCCCTGCTTTTGACTGTTTTCTCCCTTATCAAGGCTGCACAGCCCGGCCAATGGGAGCAGCTCCTCTAACAGGTGCGTTGCGGGACTTTCCTCTGAAGTACAGTCTCCCTCTAAGCAGTTAGATGCTTAAAGGTACAGAAGGCAATCAGAGTGGGGAACGAAGGTTCTGTGAAATTTCATGAGCCCTGACAGGATTTTACAACATTTTTTTTTTTTTAACCATGGGAAAAATTTGATTTTTTTTTTTTTTTTTTTTTTTTTACTGTGTTCTCATAAGAAACCATTCTTGTGGCTAAGACTTCCACTGGACAGGAATTTCAGATGTGCTTTGATACATGTGACTCCCTTTCCTTTAGTATGCCATGTGAGAGGAGAAAAAAAAAAAAACCAAAAAACCTAAGTGGGTATTAAGTGGCAGAGTATACTATTACTTTAAGATTAAGTGTTTTGTAGAAAATAGGTACTTGGGCTCTAACCAGATCTGCCAGAGTTTGTGATCAGGTCTTGACTCCCAAGAAAAAGATTTATAATGTAAACGTTGGAAACCCCTTCTTTGCTGGTGTACGGTTAAGAGGGAGCCAAATAGAGCGTAAGTTACTCTCACAGTCCCCGTGGGCTGTAATTTTAGTATGCTTTAGTGCCCTGGGCCGGTAGGGCTGCTCTGGGCTGTGTAGGTCTGGTTTCATTGCAGTTGTACTTGTGTTACTTTCAAAGGACAGAGCAGCTCCGGGCTTGTTCCGCCTATGACTTCAGATAAGCTTTGTTATGAAGAGTTGGGTCATGCTGGGCAACTCCTATGGAGGAACACAGAAACTCAGGGAATTTTGCCCCATTGGAGTTGTACTGGAAACAGTATGCCGCCCTGTAGGCTTGGGTCTGAATCTCCTGTGCAGGCCAAGCTGGGCTTAGACGTAGTTTTCCTGCTTACCAGGTGCAGCTCAGGTCTGGTCAGGAGAGGTTTTCCCTGGAGCAGATTAGACTCTGACATTCATCCAGTCCCTGATACCTGGTTCCACCGTAATAATGGTATTGAGAAGATGCCGTCTAATCTCAAAGCATTGTTTCTTGGACTTTGTGAATATTTCTCCCACGTGCCTCTTGTTCTGTGAAAACTTTCTTCAGTTTTTATTCATTTGACAGGTTTGAGGGCTTGCTCCGTGTCCAGTACCGCTCTTTGCCTTAATCCCCTGGGTGGCTGACTTCAGGCAGAGTGGCATTTGTGCGGGTTTTGTGCGGGTCCTGCTTCCAGAATGGATTTTTGCTCGCTCTACCATCAGGACATCTGGCTGGGGAATGAGTCTATGTGCAGCAGCCATCTTATTCATGCCCTCCCATTTACCCCCAGAAATTCGATCTCAGATACAGTTGTAATTTGCTTATTTGAGCTGTTATTGCTCCTGGGTTTCTTCTCCTGGGTAAGCAAGATAATGAGATTTGACATCATTTCTTTAATAAGAGAGAAAGTGAAAAATGTAATTGAATGTTGGTTATTTATTCCAGTTGGTTTTGAATATGTTTATAAAAACATTTTATTAATCTTTTAGCCTCTTGTTTCAGTCTTCAGTTATTAATGATTTGAGAACTGACTTTGGTGGAAAGTTAACAAAAAATGATGGTCCTGGAAGAGCAGAGGTGTGTGTGTGTGTGTGTGTGTGTGTGTGTGTGTGTGTGTGCATACACCAAAGCAGGCAGCAGGTAGTAAATAAAGCTTGCTCAGAAGAGACCTGTCAGCTGAGTCACGTCTTACCTCTGGCGTGGAGCTGACTTTGTGACTACTGAGCATCAGGAAAATATGTACTTGAAATGCTAGCACGCCTTCTATAGTCCAATCAAACTGTATGCAGACATTTCCTTAACAGATTAATGATTGAGAGTTGGTGAGGTAGGAAAAGTGCTTGCCACTGAGCTTGGCACTGGAGTTTGATCCTCGGAATCCACGTAGTGGAAAGAGAGAACCAACCCCTGAAAGTTGTCCTCAGACCTCCACACCTGAGCCAAGGCATAGACACACACAAAACAAACAAACAAACACGTGAAATAAAAATTTTAAAACCCAAATATGTAACAGGAGATTTACACAAGTTACATTTGTGTATTTGTGTGTGCATGTGTGTGTGCACTGTGGAGGTCAATGGGCAGCCTTTAGTAGTCAGCTCTTTCTTTCCACCATGCGAGCTCTTAAGACTGAATTTAGGTCATCAGGTTTGGTTGCAAGCTCCCTTATCCACTGAGTCATCTAGTCAGCCCACGAGATAGATTGGGTACTTTAAAAACAGTTTTAAAATTCATTCTACAACATTGGTATTCATGGCCTTGGTATTTCTGCTTTTCCTTTTCCTCTTATTTTATAATTTAAAGAATTCATTGGCCATAAATTCTAATGAGATGTTTTCCAGCGTGGAAGCCACAGTGAGTTAGACAGACCAGTCTTTGTCCCAGCTATGTGATCTCTCTCTACCTCAGGCTTTTCATTGTTTTGAAATGGAAATGGCAAGGACAGGACATAATCCACTTTGCCCAGCATGCGTAAGACCCTGGGTTCAACACCAGTACTTGTGGAAAGTGAAGTGAGGACAGCAGTAACCTGCCTCATTGGCTGTTGCTGAGATGAGTTATGGCGCAGGTGTCAGAAACTGGTGGTCCTTATGTTGACAGCAAATGGCAGTGAAGCATTTAGAAAGAGCAGTACTGACCAGAGGCGGAGCATAGTGGTAGCTAGAACCCATGCTTAGTGTGTGAGGCCCTGGGTTCGGTCCCCTTCCCTGGCTTTCCAGCTAGAAAGGCAGGAGATGTCAGTGTGACCCAGGGCAAACTGCCCTGGGCTGGGAATCTAAGACAGACATGGACCTTTTCATAACCTCCCATCTGTGTGACCTTGGGCAAGTAGGAACCCTTCTCGTCTTTCTTTCTTCATCTGGTGAAACAGGAAGGATGAGACTCATGGTCTCCAAGACCCTCTCAGTTTGAACGTTCTGTGCAGTCTTGGAATTTAAAAGGGGTAGGGGCTCTGTCTGGTCACCTTTTCTGGCCTTAATCCACAAGACTGGGAATGCATGGTCTCCAGGCCAGCACCGTGGCTGCAGCAGCGGTCATGAGCATTTACAGTCATCGGACTGAAAGAGTAAGGTTATCGTTCTGGACTTAGTCCCGAGAGATTGCAGACAAGGAAGTCTAGATCCTACGCGTGTGGGTCAACTGGCTACCTGGTCCCTTCCTGCTCCCCTTGTGGGATAGTGTGGCACTGAAAAGGAATGAATAGCAAGCTGATTGTTTCTTTGATTTCACGGTGCATATAAACTCTGGGACAAAGGAAGCCTCATTAAGGACTTCTGAGATATTTTTGCTGGGCTGCGTGGTTCAGGCAGTCACTCTTGGTTGCAGATTTCTGCCTTTCCCTGTAAGCGCTCTGGCCCACAGCCTGCCCATTGCCACCTGGTTCTCTGTCAACCGTTCCCCTTTTTCTTGCTCTACCAACTCCCTGGCTTTCTGTATACCCAAATGTTAGAGTTTCAGGATATCCAGGATTCTCTCTGGCTGACAACTGTGGGCTGCTTGGTTTCAGTCCCTCTTCCAGAGCTTAACCTGAGTACTCTGTTCACTGGGACCATCCAGATGGA